GCTCCTGCCAGCCCAGGCTGTCCTTGGGACTCCACCTGGCCTCCCCTAAGGGGCTCGCCTATGCCAGCTCCACCCCACCCTGCCTGCCCCCTCTGGTGAACAGGGACACAATTTCTGCCAAGGAAGGTAGGGGTCGTGACAGAGCCAGCCAGTGCCATAGAGGGCTGGCCTCGCTCCATCCGCTGTGATAGCAGCCAGCACCTGCAGCCCCCTGCCCGGTTCCCCAGCAGAACCCTTTGCACCTCCCTTCTCCCTACAGGGACACACCTCCCACCTTGTACCCTCTGGCACAGCTCCTTAGAGCTAAGAGTGGCCTCAGCCTCCTCCCTACTCTGGATTGAACTGTTTGTTCAGTAGCATGAAGTGGATACACTCAATCACCTTCCTGTGGAAGCTGGGACCTGGTGTGGGGTCTTGGGAGGCTCCCTGACCCCAGGAAACAGACTGCTGCCTTGGCCGCTGTGAGCCCTCAGGGCAGCTCCCTTCTTGCCCTTCTGCCACCTTGCTGGTCACTGCCTCACTTCGAGCCCATGTTCATCTCCCCTGACCCTCCCTATACCTTTCTCACTGACATCTCTGTGACTGAGAACACAGGCTCCCATTCTAATAGGGACCAGACCTGGCTAAGCATGAAGCTCCAAGGGGAATTTGGGCAGCAGACGGTGGGGAGGGGAGGCATCTTTGAGGCAGCATCATGGCCCTTGCGGGCTCCCCATCCATGTGGAGGCAGCTTCTCCCCCTCTGACCAACCCCAAGTGACGGGGGCCTTGGGGAAGCTGCCAGCCTGCATGGCCAGCATCATTTTGATGTTTCACTTGCAGGTCATGCTCTGGCCTTCAGCCCTGAGTGTTCGGAGATCTAGAAGCCTGTGCCTCCCCCAAAGCCTAGTCACCTCTAGCAAAAGTTGCCAAGTCCTTGGCATTGGGGCAAGGCACCCTCAGCTTCCCTCTGCCAGGCTATACCACTTAGCCCACCTTGCACTGGCCTCACTACTCCCCAGATGGGCTGCACCTTGGCTCTGGGTCGCACAACTTTGAACCATAATGCCTGTGTCTAACCACACCAGGAGAAGAAGGTGCCCCCTTTCCTCCCTCTGCTCCCACTGCCTTCTTGGAGTATCTCCAAGCCCTGGGATTCTGTATCCCGTGTTTCCCAAATGGGAAAACCAGACAGAAGCAGGGAAAGGGTGCAGATGTAGCCTCCTTGCCTCCAAGATAGAGCCCTAGACATAGGAGGTGCCGACCTCTCACTGGGACCTGGGGCCCCTGGGAGGGTTCTCCTGCCCCAGAACCACCCCTCTCCAGGCTTCCCGGAAGGTCTCAGAGGCTGCCCCCTATGTGGGCCTTTCTCCAGAAGGCTTAGAGAAAGGCCAGTGGGCATCATTTAGAGTCGGAGACCCGGATAGGACAGTGACAAGCCCTGGTGAGCAGGGGCTGCCCCAAGGGCTTCAGTCTGAAGGCCCCATCCCTCCATCCCACTGTTCCATCCTCTTGCCTTCCCTGACTTTGGAGCATCCTCCATGTGAGCACTGGGTCAGATCCTGGGGTAGAGATGAGTAAGACATCCTTCCCTTTGAGGGGCCCACAGTCTGTCCCTAGAAGGGAAGAAAGAAGCTGCCAAGAGCAGGTGTCATCTGAGAGGGGCCTGAAAAGAACAGGAATTCGCAGCATGGAGAGGCTGAGGGGTGGGTGGGGTGCTTTCCAGAAGGGAGAGCTCATTCCGGCCCAGTGTGTTCTGGGTCTCACCCCTTCCCCGACCTCTGAGGGCAAAGGCAGCTTGGCTTCAGGCTGCCAAGGGTGACTGGAGGGATGACAGATCTTAAACTGGCCCAAGAGGGCCCTGCCTCCAGCCAGAGGGGTCTTTGCAGGAGAACCTGTGGGGTCACCCAGCTCCCCATCTTCCTGACTTCAAACCAGAGAGGAACTTACAGATTGGGGGTTGTTCCAAAGCAGAAGTCTCAACCTGGAGTCACGGTGAGGGGACTGTAGGGGCTCCCTGACCCCTGGAGGTGTGAGCAGAACTGGTGTGTGTGCACACAGTTCTTGGGATGCTCACAGGGCCCGTGGTCCCACATGGTGAGAACTCTGCTCTAGAACTGTGGGGCTGGGAGGAGCTCCAGGACTCAGCATGCTCAGATGAGGAAACTGAGGCTCAGATAGGAGACATGCTAAGGTCACCCTGGAAGTTAGTCTTCAGGTGCAGGGCTTCACTGCTCTGTCTAGAGCCGTGGTTCCCAGTGCCATGGGAGAGCACTGTGCACCCGTAGCCCTAGGGAGCTGGTCAGAGGACAGGTCCCTGGACCTACTCCCAGAAGTACTGATAAGCTGTCTTTGGCAGTTTGGAAGTTGAGTCTGGAACCTCTGTGCTGGAGGGTAGGGTGTATGTGCATACACACACGCGTGTGCAATGTGTGTGTGCTCTGTGTGAGGCGCTTGTGGAGCTGACTCTGACTTCTGGGGCCATGGTTAAGAGTGGGGCTCTGAGTCCGAAATGGGGCTTTGCTACTAACTTGCTGGGTACCCTTGAAGTCCCTTGACCTCTCCGTGCTTCAGTTTCTCCATCTGTACAATGGGCAGAATAACACAACTATCATCTGCCTCATGGGATTGTGCCAGGAAGGACGAGTTGACAAGCCCTGAGCACAGTGCCGAGCCCGGGAAACCTGCTCATTTTCCCGATCTCCCCTGATATGGGATTTGGGATGACAGGCTTGCTAGGTGCAATTTCTCAAAGCATGAACAGGCTTTAAGCCTTAGGGGTGGCCGGTTCACATTCTGGGGTGGTCAGGCTGTCAGGGGAGCCCTCAAGCTTTCCCCACTCTCTGGGCATCTCTCCCTGGGAAAGTCCACCACAGTGCGGCTGGCAGCTCTTCCCCTGCCCTGAGCACTGGGACTCACATCCAGGCCCATCCAGTTCTGAGACCTTTCTGGCCCCAGGAAAATGGGGGTTTCTCAGTAGGGGGACACTCTGCCGGAGGCTCAGAGGCTGCTCAAGGCCTATTGTGCCTTGCGAGGTGTTATTAAATATGTGAAGACCCAGTTCCACTGTGGGAAACCAAAGGTCACCTCACACAGGGAGGCCCTGCCTTGGGGCACTGGACTAAGCATGGGCTGAGAATCACAGCATTTGGGCAATAAACATTAATTGTGCACCTACTAGGTAAGGCTTTGTTTTCTGGTATGGAAACAGACCACTGCCCTTGGGCTTTTTATTTTTTTGGCCAGGGCTGAGTTTGAACCTGTCATCTCTGGCATATCACCCTACTCCTTTGAACCACAAGCGCCGCCCTGCCCTTGGGCTTTTATTCTAATGGAGGGGGGAAGGTGGGAGATAGGAGATAAATAAAGTGATGGTTTGTCACACAGCTCAGCTGTAATAGAGGAAAATGGTGCCAGCAAGGGGCACATGAGTCCCTGAGGGAGTTGTGGGAGGGATATGATTTTAAATAGAGTGGTTAGGGAGGCACTAAGTCTGCAGGCTGGAGAAGCGAGCCCGGTGGACACATGTGGAAGGAAGCTCCAGGCACCAAGTGCCAAGGCTGCATTCGTCGGCACTGACAGCTGCTAGTGACACAGGTAAACCAAATGAACGCAGCTGAGTCTTAACTCATTCAGCAGGCCATCGGGGGTCCTTGGAGGGGATGGCTCATTCCTCCACGTGGTGATTCAGGAATACAAGTTCCTTCCCCGTGGCTCCGCTTTCCTCACTTCCCATGGCAGTCATTTTTTTCTCATTTAGGACGATGGAGAAAGGGATAGCAGAGAAAGGACATCTACCTCCTGGCCTCCTGCTCTTATTCTATTGAGAAGAGCTAGTCATAGGGTCCTGGTTCAATGCAAGCGGGGCTGGGAGACATTGGCTCTGGCTGGGCAGTGGCTCCCCAGTACCACCCTCACACTGTGGAGGAACCTCCAGAGGCTAGATGATTCTGCATGTCCCTTAGCTGAGGGTGTGCCCAGATGTTCATGGAGGCTGGCTGGCTGGCTGGCTGGAGTAATGGGAGAAGTGGGGCAATAGGAATTGTGGGCAGAGACAATGAGGGCAGATCACGCAGGATCATGTAGGCCATTGTTGGGTTTTGGCCATCCCAAATGATGTGAGAGGCCCCAGAGGTCCTAAGCAGGGAAGGGACAGGCTCTGCCTTCTGTTTCCACAGGCTTCCTTGGCTACTGTGTGAATAGACCACAGGGGTTAGTAGTAGAGCAGGGCCTGCGAGGCTGCAGCAGTGGTCCAGGCCGAGGCCACAGTGGCACACACACAGGTGGACGACCAATATACTTTGAAGGCAAAGACAACAGAACTTCTGGTGAGCTGGATTTGGGGAATAAAATAAAGAGGACTCAAGGCTGAGTCCTGACACTAAAGCTTGGACAGGGTGCCATTTGGTGAGACAGGAAAGCAATGACAGGGGGTCTGAGGGGTGTGTGACACGTGAGGGGCAGGGGGAAGGGGAGGGGAGGAGTCTACTTTTGGATGTGTTGAGGGGCCACTTAAACTCTTCATGGAGAGCCTCAGACCCTCACCTGTAAATGCGGGTAGCTGCACTTACCTGGAGGGTGGCTTCAAGGATTACCTGAGGGGATGGCTGTGAAAGCCAGAGGTGAGAGGTCCGTGGCTGTGGGGCCAGGGCAGTGAGGGTGGCCTGAGTGGAGAGGAGCTGGTGGCAGGGTGAAGGGTAAGGAAGGACAAAGGCTTCTTACAATCACCTGGGGCCTTTCTCTACATTCTGGTCTCCTGGATCCCCTCAGGCAAACAGGTCAGATGGGTGTGCTCTGGGCAGGCAGGTGCTCATCCCTGAGAGGTGCTGGGAGCTGAGACCTGGGGCTGTGCTTTGCCACCGGACTTGGTCTGGGCACTTCCATGTCTCTACTCCTTACCTGACAAATGAGCTGTGGGCTCAACACAGCACTCTGGGAGCTCCAGGTGCCCCAAAGGTGCCTGCCCTCAATGCTGGCAGGTGACAGACTCACTGAACGGTACAAAGCTCATGGGAGAGGCAGTCACAGAGCAGTAACGCTTTTATTCCCATCAGTGACGCTGATGGGGCCTGACCTTTACAAAGGAAAATGGTAAGAAAACAGAAGGAGGGCGGGGGCCACAGGAGCCTCTATTCTTGCTGCCCCACCCTTTTGCCAACCCTGCCAGAGTCTGTGCCTCCAGACCAGAGGGGCCGTCACTCTTTCCGCCAGGCCATCTGCCTGTAGAGTCGAAGGAAGGCGACAGCATGGAAGCTGGGCCCAGCATGCTCTTCTGAGCAGGCAGCAAATGGAGAGGGGGCAACAGGTGGGTTGTTCCCTGTGGTGACTGGTCCTGGGCTTTCGGTGACTTGCTGAGGCCTCATGGGGGCCCCTGTTGGCTCCGCCTCTCCTCCAGCGCTCTGCACACCCACATGGACACCACGGTGGCATTTCCATCATTGAACTGCACGATGAACGGGTGGCCCTGTGGGGAAAAGGAGCAGGTTGTGACAGGTATTCACTTACCTTCAATATACTTTCCCAGGCCTATTCTCAGCCTGGATCTGATTCTTTTCCCCAGTAACCCTGCCAGGTAAGGAGGGCAGCTGTCGGCCCCATTTCACGGAGAGATGACTGAGGCCCAAGGAGGGGCAGTGCCACATCTGTCATTAGCCGGGCAGTCAGCAACAACCGTCTGGAGCACTGGCTGACCGGCCTAAATTGCCTGGCGCTCTGCCACCTTTTCCCCCGACCCCAGGGAGCCCGGAAGGTCCTTGAGGGCAAGGGCCTATCTTTTCCACATACTCTGTCTGGCCCTTCCTAAGACAACATCATGTACAGAGCCAGTCGGCCAAGGCCTGGCACCTGCGTTGCCAGCTTTCCGGTCCAGTTGCTGCCCAGAGACCAAGGAATCATCTCGTCAGAGGCCATGTCAATCCCTTTTAGTTTTCCCTTTGTCTACAGCTCTCCTATAATCACCGTCTGCAACTGGAGGGAAGGCAGAACGTGCCATGGGAGGAAGAAGGGGACAGAGGAACACGATGGCACCTGCAGATCACGCTGGTTCCTGATGAGAAGCTCGCGTGGGGGGCTGGCCTCTGGAGGGCCCACCTCTGCTTCTAACCTACTTAGCCCACAGGCGGGTCAGGTTATATTTAGCCAGTCCCCTCCTCTGCTGTCCTGAAACACCAAGATTTGTACCCACAATCAAGGCCTCTTGGGAGTTCCCAGGGAAGGCTGGAAAAAAGCAGGGACAGCCATAGGGTTGCCTGGCCACACGTCAAAGGTGAAAGGAAATCTGAACACATTCTCTTTTCTCCTTGTCCCAAGAGCTCAGCTTGGCTAGGAACTTACTCCTGGTGGCCTCCTCACCTACCCCAAACTTTATAGCCTCCTTGCTGGACTCCAGGAGCCACAGTGGGGAGCAGAATGAGGAGGATGAAGGCTGCCTGCTGCCTCCCCGAGCTCCTCTCCTCCCTCCCCTTTCAGGGGCAGCTCTCCTGCCCCCTCCAGCTTCCTGAGCACCCCCTGTCCCCCACTCCCCGTGCATCCCTCCTCCACCTCTAACCGCTGGGCTTTCAGGGCTGCTTTTCCAGCACAGCCCCTGGGAACCTGCAGGAGGTGCCGCACTGCCTCACCATAAGCACACCACAGTCAGGAGGGATGTGGGCACTGGATGAGCCCCCATGACTGCAGGAGCTGCCATGGCTCAGACCAGGGTAGAGAAAGGGGGCTAAATGGTCCATCCAGACCACACACAGGTCAGATTTGAGACATCTCTGGGGACAGGAAGAAAGACCGCCTAGGCCTCCTCACTCTGTGTGAAGGCCATGTCCCCCACCTAGCCTTCTGCCTCAGGTATGGAAAACCATCCCGGAATCCCTGCAGAAGTCCAGCTCGAGGCTCTGCATGCAGAATGCTGTCAGAGGGGCAAGAGGTGCCGAGACCTCAAAGCCAGGGTAAGGACTCATCAAAGCTATGATGGAGCTGTGATTTACTCTGTGGGGGCTGCTGACACACCTGCAGGATCCCCAAGGGAACAGAGCTTTGGGGAAGGGGAGCTGAGGCCAGGCTGGGTGGGGACTCCCAGGGCAGCACAGGCCCAGGTGGGGACTCCTGGGAGGGATTCCATCTTGGCTTTCAAATGTTCTCCCCACATGCACTCCCACCCTGTGTTCAGACAGTGGGGGTGAAGGGTCCTTGTCAAGTACAAGGGTGCACACTTCCTTTCAGGAGGCTCAAGAGAGGGACTTTGCACCCTTCTGAAGAACAAAGGGAGAAGCTGAGCTCAGGAGTGAAGGGCCCCTCCCTCCAAGCCCAGGGTAACACAGTGTCACTTTCCCAGAATGCCGGGTGACTTTGGGGCCCATATGCTCCATCTCTGTTATCATCTGTTCCACAGCAAGCAGAGCGGAACTGCAGGGGAGGGTGGAGGCATTCCTCCACGCTACAGGAGGGGCGGATGGCTGCTCTGCAGGAAGTACTTTGCCCAAGTGCCCTGGCGGGGGGAGAGGGCTGTGAAGCTGCTGGCATCCTTGGTTCTGGTGGACATGCTGGTCCTCTCCTGCCCTTGTTGTCTGGGAGGTGACCTCCATATCCTTTGTATCACTGATGAGGCACGATGCATTCCTGATGCTTTATACCACCCCAACCAGGACAACTGGTTTAGGGTGGGTGCCTGAGAGGGAGAAGTGAGGGGGAGAATCACAGAGGGACACAGAGAGGTGCGAGCGCCAGCGTCTCTTGGCATCCTGGGCCATGACCTGTGAACCTGGGAGCCGGACACATGGCAAAAGCTGGTCTGAGGGCAGCCACAGCAGTTCTGTGCAGAGGGAGGCAGAGCAGGGCAGGAGGGGTACTGACAGCACTGCGACCATCATATGTGGGGCCTGGCAGCAATTCTGTCTGCAGGGTTCATAAGGCATCCCCAGTTTAGGGTTTTCTGTTATTTGCAACCAAAGGAGCACACTCAGAGAAGTGGGCACTATCGTCTCCACTTCACACATGAAGAAACAGGTCACAGGGTCACTGCTGACCTGCCTGGGCTTCCATAGCTGGGAGTGGACCGTAAGTCTCTGTAACCCAAATCTACTGCCCTGGGCACTTCTGGGCTGAGCAGAGATGGGAGAATCAATACCCAGGTTGCAGTTCCCCTTACCTGTCTTTACCAGGTGATTCAGGGCTACCTGGCTAGAGGTGGGACTGGGACTGCAGACTTCATGCCTGGACCATCCCAAGTCTTGACCTCTGCCAGTGCTGTCCCTTGGGCATGATGGGGGAGTCACCTGACTCCACCTCCCATCAGTACTGTGTGGAAAGCAGGGAAAGTATAACACACTTCCTGTTTTATAGATAAGGACTCTGAGGCCCAGGGAGGGAAATGCTGGTTAAGACCTGGGACTGGGCCAGGCCTAATGGCTCATGTCTATAATCTCAGCACTCTGGGAGGGAAAGGTGGGAGGATCATTTGAGACCAGCAGTTTGAGACCAGACTGGGTAACACAGTGAGACCCCTTCTCTACCAAAAATTTTAAAATTAGCTGGGCATGGTAGTGCACACCTGGAGTTCCAGGTACTGGAGAGGCTGAGGCAGGAGGATGGTTTTGAGCTCATGAGTTCAAGGCTGCCATGGGCTATGAATGTACCACTGCACTCCTGAGTGCAGTGGGTGACAGAATGAGACCTTGTCTCAAAATAAATACATATTGGCTTGGAGCCCGTAGCACAGTGATTATGGCACCAGCAACATAAATTAGTCAACCAAGACTGGCAGGTTTGAATCCGGCCAGGGCCAGCTAAACAATAATGACAACTGCAACAAAAAATAGCCAGGTGTTGTGGTGGGTGCCTGTAGTCCCTGCTGCCTGGGAGGCTGAAGCAAGAGAATCACTTAAGCCCAAGAGTTGGAGGTTGCTGGGAGTTGTGATGCCATGACACGCTACTGAGGGTGACATAATGAGACTCTGTCTCAAAAAAAAAAAAAAAAGGGCTTGGCACCTGTGGCTCAAGCAGCTAAGGCGCCAGCCACATACACCTGAACTGGCGGGTTTGAATCCAGCCCGGGCCACCAAACAACAATGACAGCTGTAACCAAAAAATAGCTGGGCATTGTGGCGGGTGCCTGTAGTCTCAGCTACTTGGGAGGTGGAGGCAGGAGAATCACTTGAGCTCAGGAGTTGGGGGTTGCTATGAGCTATGATGCCACAGCACTCTACCCAGGGCGATAGCTTAAGCCTGTGTTTGTGTGGGGTGTAGAATATATGTGTGTGTGTGTGTGTGTGTGTGTGTGTGTGTGTGTGTGTATATATATATATATATATAAAATAAAAAGGGCTGGGACTGATCTTAGATCTCTGGAACATTCTCAGGGCTGGCTTGGCTTCCTTGGGACCTGGGGGTGGGGGGCAGGGTTCTCTCTTTCCTTCTAGACTATATCGGACATCCTCAAGCCCTATGACATGCACAATGTAGGTATTCCTCCATAAGTTTACTTCGCAAATAGCAACCAGACAGGAAATTCTGGGGGAAGTATGCAAATCGCTTGGCCTCTCTGAGGTGCCCAAGTTTTGCACAACCAGATACTCCAGGAGTCCTGGCAAGGCAGGACTCCTAGAGGTGGATGGAGATTCCACACCAAATACACTGGACTGAACTGTATTCTAGGCATTTGCCAAAGGCTTTGGCATGCCCACTGGCTGGTCCCCACATGCAGCTGACACCAGGCACAGCTGTACAACTCTGGTTTCTCATGAGGGAACTGATGGTGTCGACACTGTCAGTGTGTGGAACTCTTCAAAGGGCATCCAAGCCAGTGGTTGGGCTGGAACCAGTACCAGTCTCCTGACTTGGAAGTCCTTCCTGCAGTAGGTGCAGCAAGGAGCACCTCTCCTTGGTGCAGTAGGAGCAACTCTCATTTCCTACGATCTCTCAGGCCCAACTGAAACCATTAAGCTGGGGAAGACTGAATTATTATGGTCCACAAGCTTCGCCACAGAAGATGGAGATGGAGACATAATGAAGGGAAAAGGTTGGGACTGCAAGAGGTAGGATGGCTCCACAAGTGGGACACGGCAGAGTGATGGGATAAGTACAGCAGAGACGGCTGGCATTTTCTGGTATAGACACCCCAACCAAAAGGGAGATGTGGGGCGCTGGTGAAAACTGCTCAAGTCTTGAGGAGGAACTGTAGTTATGGTGCCAGAGTGTGACTCTTCATCTCTGTATCAATGTCCCTAACTCTTGCCCACTGGTTCTGCTGAGATGAGGGGCTTTCTGGATGGACCGACAGCAGGATGCTCCTGAGTCTTGCTCTGTGTGGTGGTGAGGAGGAAGGCTCAGTGTGCCAAGCACAGGCAGGAATGAGGCTCTAAGCCTGTCACAGTGGGCGAGTGCTCTCTGAGGCCCTGGGGTCCTAGATTCCCAGACAGTGCTTGTTCAGTGATACTTCATTAGATGTCCTTAGTTGGGTTTTGAGTTTCTTTCCAG